GCAATAGAGGGCCTTGAGAAATGAACTGTGGGTAAGTGAGAAATAAACTATGGGTAAGTTTACCCGTAAAGGTTTTCCAAGGATTGTCCCAATTGCATATAAGATATGTATGTCAAAAAATTGAAATTTGAGTTCAGGTAATGAGAACCAGATAGATGCGATTGGGGGTTCTTGACTGGGATCAAAATCATGAGTCCATTTGAGCAATTTCATCTGTTTTCCCTCGATTGTGATGAATTTCTTTGAGAAAATTTTTGTTTAGTCTTCTTCTATACTCAGTTGTATCATAACATGACTTTCATCGAAATGACCCACCTGTCAAGCCCCAACTAGTTTGAAATCTTCGAAAATCTTTCTGATAGTCTCTATCTTAGGGCAACCTAATTGGAACTTTCCAACTAGAGTAAATTTGTATTTTCCTGCACGAGTTGAAATTTCAGCGTCAAAGAAGAATATTGTTGGTTTGTCCGCTTTTTTTTCTACTTTCTTGATGAGATTGCAGTCTCCATATCCTGCAACAGAATCATGGTACATTTTCGGGAATATCAGACTATCTGTTGTGAACCACTGTAGCATACGAGGGTTTGGCAGGGTTATCACAGGCGAGGGTGGCGACGTAGGAAAGCCCTGAGGCCATTATCGTGGCCAATGCCAACAAAAAACGCAACGATCGTAGACGACACACCGACTCTGTCGCAGACAATGCAGTTGTCGAGCAGAAGCAGGGTTTGTAGAGACGCATTGGGTAGCTATGCCGCCAGACGAAGCAGTCGACGCGAGAAAAGCAAGGCACGACCGGTGTCGGCGTAGCTGTCAAACGCACTGGGTAGCTTTGCTGCCAGACGAAGCAGACAATGCGAGAACGCGAGGCATGTCGACGACGTAAGTACTGATGATGAAGACGACACCGGTATTTACCAAATCGAAGACGAAAGCTAGTTTTTTTCCAAAACGAAGACGAAGGCGACACGAGACGCTAGGCGAACTCAAGATACAGATAAGTTTGTATGGGTGGGCCTAAACAACCAACCCACACGGTACAACACACAAAAAATGTAAAAGATGGGTACATATAGAAATAAAAAGAAACCCAAAAACCACCCGGGCGCCGAAAAAGTGTGGGTCATCTCAATCTAGTCTTGCCTCTGACTCTAGTTCTCGTTAGGGATCCAGCTAGCAGATTGGTAAGGTGTTGACCATTACCCGTAGTAACCAAAGTATCATCCATAAGACTCCTGAGCTCTAGTAGATCTCCATTCTTCTTCTTCCTCCTGGAAGTGTACCTGATGGGGTAGAGTTGAAGTAAAAGGATTACCAACAGTAGTACCATAATAGGTTCTACAATATGTGAAGTATGAGTTGCCGCTACATGGGATACTTCTTGAAGAAGTGGAGCTGTGAGGCTCTCCTGATTATCAGTCTGAACACTATCATTTATAGGTAATAGTCCTTCATTATTGTTTTGTATGGAGTTTGTAGGTGCCAGCATCGCATCACTCGTAGTAACAATAACAACAGTGTCATAGGGGGGTCTTCAGGTGCAACATACACCTCCTGTCTGGTAGTATTCTTCTTAGGTGGAACTAAAATGTCCACAGCAGTGGGGTTAAACCCATCCTTATTCACTTGAACCTTAAATTTCAAATTATGATGAAGTTTGTGGCATTTAACAAGGATATGACCAAACATAGTGGGTACAATGTGGTAGTTTGTTTTCCATGATGATTTATTGTCAATAACCATTATAGGTAGTGCTCAGCCAGACTTCAGTAACATCAGGTAAAGTAATATCCCTTTTCCACAAGTATTCTGACCACCGAAGGTCTGATTAGGTTGAAAGTAGGCAGATCTAGTTTCAAAGGATCCCCAAGGATGAACCGCAGGATGACCCAAATAGAGTAGAAAATCTGATGGTGAAAAAAATGCAGCTTTAGACCAAGTAGACTAAGCATACAGGTACAGTGGAAGTTTCATGATTTGAGTCAAAATTAGGAGATGGTCGAAATTAGGAGACTACTTGAGTAACTTCATTGATTTGCCTTCGATATTAAGATATTTCTTAAAGAAAATTCTGGTGTAGTCTTCAGTCTCTGTTAGTTGGATTAACACATGTTTTCTATCCATGAGTACCACTTTTCACTTGCCTACTAGCTTGACATCCATAGGAGGGTGTCCCCACTGAAATTTTTCAATAAGAGCAAACTTAAATTTTTTCGTCAGGGTAGAAATTTCTGATTCAGAGAAAAAGATTTTTCTTTTCCACCTTTTTCTACTTCCCTTCTTAATAAAAGGGCAATCATCTGTACCCTTACGAGATTCCTTATAACTTGAGGGGAATCCCACTGCGGACTCCACCTAAGGGATACCTACCACGTGGGTAAAGGAGATTTTGTCCGACTCAACCAAATAAGGAGGCGCCATCAGAGCAAGGAGAGTTGTCGGCGTTAAGCTACAACGAAGTTGCTGCGGCAGGAAAAACAGTGAGAAGCTTCACGAAACTGAGCTGACGAGCGGCTCTGTCGGAGACGCAGGCAGAGCCGAGCAGACAATGTGAAGTCGAACTAGGGCGAGCGGCTCTGTCGCAAACAGAAGCAGGACGCAGGACGCAGATGTCGAGCGGCTGGACTCGTCGAGCAGACGCGAAACGCGTTGTTGTCGAGACACAGACGAATGCCGATGAAGACAGGCGTGAGCCGACGAAGCAGAAAGAAGTGGAAGCTTCGAGCAACTGAATCAATGACGATCGCCATTCGAAACATTCGAAACCCTAGCAGAGCAGTTGTCCGCCATTTTGGTATATATGTATATATATAGACATGTTATTTATAAAGGCAAAAAAATTTCATTGATAAAAAGAGAGTATACAAAATTTTAGTGACTGGATACAAAGAGCCCACTCATAGGGATTACAAACGTATGCCCCAAAAATAAAACAACAAGAAAGAATTAATCATGGTGGGTGTAGTCGATGGATAAACCGCTTCCCCTTCTCGTGGATCTAGAGAGAGAGTCCAGCAACGAGATGTGGGCTTCCGCCCATTCCGCCCAAAACAATGATACAGTCATCCTGAGAGTTGCTGAGATCAGACATTCTTTTTTTCTTCCTAGATTTATAAACATGTCAATCATCTGCCAGAGGTAATCCCGTGTGAACAATAGGTGGATCTTCGATGGAGGTAAACTGCTAATTTGACTCAGTCTGCAACACATTGATTCTGACACTCCTCCATGACTTGAGTACTCTCTTCTCTCGCAATAGGTGGTTCCAAGACAAAAAATACAATATTTGTAATCTGAGAAAGAGCGGCCTCAACAACAGTAAGCGGAAGTTGCTGGTCTGGTTGGTGGGAGTAGTCTTATGAGTCAAATTCTCGTCATCAATTATGTGTCTGCTATATTTTCCTCCACATGGATGATATTGTTAGCACCTGTCAATCTCAAATGCGGGTGAAGCCTAAAGTATTTGGCAGGGGTGTGCCCAAATAGTTTTCAGTGATTGCAGTAGTAGGGTCTTTGTTCTGCTATAATTAACTGTCAATACCCATTGTGGGCAGTATCAAGCCATATTTTGTCCACATCAAGGAGGGTGATATCCCTTTCAACAAGAATTATTGCAACCGAAGGCCTGGTTAGATTGAAAGTGGGTGTATCCAATTTCATAGGTCTCCCTAGAGCAACTCCAATAGAATAGAGAACTTGGTGGTTGAAGTAGTGCAACTTTAGGCCAGGTAGTTTAAACCAGATTGAAACTATAGGTGGTTCTTGACTAGGGTCAAATTCAGGAGACCACTTAAGCAGTTTCATATATTTTCCCTCTATTGTCATAAACTTTTTGGAAAATATTTTGGCATAGTCTTCCACTTTAGATAGTTGTATCATCACATGTCTCTCATCAAATATGCAAACCTTTCGAAGTCCCAATAATTTGAGATCTTCAAAAGCCTTTTGAACGATCTCCATTTTGGGATGTCCCGATTGGAACTTCCCAATGAGGGTGAATTTAAACTTGTTAACCAGGTTGGAAACTTCAACATCAGAGAAGAATATAGTCAGTTTGCCACTCTTCCTACCCGTCTTCTTGATAAGGTTGTAGTCCTCCTGGCCTTCGAATAATTCATGGTAAACCTGAAGGAAAACTTGATTTGATCGCATAGAGCCAACTATATCAGCAAAAGAAGTCTACCCAAGGTTTAAAACTGAAAGAGTCGGTGGTTCAGAAGGAGCAGTAGCCATGGAAGTTAAACAACGACAAGCTACAGGGCAGACGGAGCCGCAGGAGACCGCAGGAGGCGCAGCTGAGAATGAAAGAGGTGCGATGAAGAAGCGACGCCGCACGACGCAAAGTTCTTCGAGCGTGAAAGAGCCGGGAGCCGGGAGCTGCAGGAGGCCCAGCTGAGACGCACGATGAAGAAGCGGCGCTGCACGACACCTCTCCTTCTTCAAGCCGAACGATGTGCAACGAGTCGACGCCGCACGACGCAAACGAAGCTCGACGGAGAAGAGGAGATACGACGAAGAGCAAATCTATGAAGAGATACCAGGTTTCACCATATAGGCGAAACCCTAGCAGAGCAAAATCGGAACAGACGACATTTTTATGTTCGTGTTAGGCTTGTTAGCTTAACGAACAAGCCGAACACGAGTTTCTTAACAAGCCGAACACGAGTTGTTTGCGAACAACAAGCCGTTTTGAGAGCCCTACTCATATTGTCATGAGCATTCCTTTCATGCAATCATGGAAGTATAGATAGTTCATAGTGGCATCTCATAAAGTATTAGAAAGTGCTTACTCATTTATAAGGAATTTCCTTCAAATTCAATGTTGTTTTGGAAGTCATCAATAATTAGCATAAAATTACAGACTTATTTTTTTAATATATACTGGAAGTACATTCAATTTCCATGTGAAAATATATCTTTACGTATTCTTGCTCTTCCACGTATATATACTTTTTAAATTTTAGTATAACTTATTTTCTGTTGTTTCTTTTGTTTTACAGGAACAAGGGCCATATTCTGGGATATGAGAGAGACATTCATTTATTTATTGTACCGAGGTGGTGTCAAAAGATTTCGGCTGGATGCTTTTCTTCCTGAACTAGATGGAGTGAGTTCAAAATTCTAGCAATTCATATTCTTGAATGCCTAATTCGAAATTTGTCAAATTTGCATTGCTGCGGCAGTAATAAGAATTTTTTGCTGATTTATTGAAGATACTTGATCGCATATGTGATTTGATCATCGATGAGCTTCGAGATCATGTTGTCTTAAGCATTTGCAGAGCATCAATGGTATCCGCTTTAGATATTATCCTTTGTTTGTTAGCTTTAATTTAATTTAGGGGCATTCATATACATACCACCCAATTCTTATGTATTTTCATATCTTTCACCTAAACTTTAATTATTACATTTATACAACCCAAATATTTCATATCACATAAAAAATACCATCATTTTAAATTTAAAAAAGTGAAATACACCTTCTCATGCATAGTGAAGGTGGCATGCATCTTAAAATTGAAGTTTAGGTGATAGATATGTAAATACAAAAGAATTGAGTGTTATGTATGTAAATCGTTATTTAATTTAAACATCTATAATGTTGTGTATTTCATATAACAGGCAGCTTATATTTGGGTAATGCTGGATGGAGGCCCTTTTCGTGCATTCTCTTACACAGATGTAGAAGTTTTACATGAAGATCTAAATATGCTAAAGGTGTGCAACGTGCTATTACAGATATATGCAGCGTCTCTGTTTAAACTTGTTTTTTACCTTAATTTGAGATATAAATGCATTTCATGCTAAAAAATTGTGAACTTTAATATATTGCTATGCATACTTTTTGTTCAGAAGATTTTTATTCCTCTATTTCTTCATTTGCAATGATTGTTTTATTTATTGTTTTTTTGTAAGCATTCTGTTAGATTTTTTGCTTAGCATGGAACAAAGATTCTCATACTTGTGAAATTGCGTACTCAAGTTAAAAGGAACCTTTTATTTTGTTTGGTGGATAAAATTAACTGTCTTAATGGGAAGTTGGTGGTTGCTTTCTGTTGGAATTTTATAGATGGAGTTCAATGCTGGATATTATTTTTGAGTCATTTGTGTATGGGGTCTAATCTTTTGATGCCTGCAAAATTTGTAATTGCGTTTAATGGGAAGTTTCATTCTATATATTTTTTTTTTCATTAAACCATTATTAAAATCAGGTAGAAAATAGATCCAAATAAAGGAAAAAAAACAATCGAGTCCCTTTTTTTTCATTTTTAAACATTAAATGCTAGCTATAGATAATGTTATTTGCACATTTTGTTTAAGGTTTCTTGAGGATTGCAATTTTTACTGGATTATGGTTTTATTCTGGAAAAACACGTTAGATATACTAAAATGGCTTTATAATGCAAACACTTGTTACATATGGTGGCTTGTGAGGTAAAACGGGACTGTGACTTGGAATGTTGGTTTTTAGAAAATAGTTTGGATATAATTGAAGAAATGAGGGGTATTTTCAAATGTTTTGCACCCAATATAGGACCATGTAGGAGTTTTATGATGATAGGCAAGCACATATTTACAAAATGAGGCATCTACATGCATTATGAAAAGCCCAAGGGCTGATTTTATTGAAATACAAAGGATACATAAATGTTGTATGAGAGAGCAAAAAAGAGGCACCCTGCCCATAAATTACAAGTATAGTAATACCCCAACAAAAAGATACAGATAGACTCAATAAAAAGTAAAACAAATTTAAAATATGTAGAAAACAAGTAGCTAGAGACGAGTCAGTTTAGTCATGTCTCTTCCTTTAGTTTTAGGATCGGAGCCAAATAACAAATTTTGAAGAGTTGTGTCATTGTTAGGAGTAACTAAAATATCATCCATTAAGTTTCCAAGTTGGAGTGTGTCCCCAGCCTTCTTCTTACGCCGAGAAGTGTAAATCTGTCATTCTTCATCTGAAGATTGGCTTATGTGATCCTCGGTCTGATTTGATGTTAAAATTGCAGTAGAAGGAAAGACAATCATTGCTACCGCGATAGGTTCCAGTGTATGTGAAGTGTGAATTGTTACCTCAGCACCTGATGCTTCTAAAATAGGAGCTGCGGGATTATCCTGATTTTCGGTTCAAATATTATCCGTTGTAGTATGATCAGGAGAAGGGATCTCAGGGGCAGACACCAACTCCTGTCTTGTGGTGATTCCCTCCTCAGGCTGGCTGTCATTAGGTTTGCTGGGAGCGCGTTCAGGCACATTAGGTGCACTAATAGTGTGTTCCTGTTTTTGACTATTGGTTCTCAACTGTGGGTGCAATTTGAAACATTTCTCCTGCGGGCGTCCAAATATTTTGCAGTGCTTGCAGTAGTAAGGTTTTTGTTTCATAATAATTTTTTGTCAATAACCATTGTGAGCAGATCCAGGCTAGACTTCTACATCTGGTAGTGTAATATATTTTTCAATATATTTAATATATTTTTCAATCAAAATCCTTGCAATAGAGGGTCTTGAGAAATGAACTTTAGGTAAGTCTACCTGCAAAGATTTTCCAAGGATAGTTTCAATTGCATTTCAGATAGGTAAGAAAGAATTGAAGCTTGATTTCAGGTAATGAGAACCAGATAGGTGCAATTGGGGGTTCTTGACTACGATCAAAATTAGGGGTCCATTTGAGCAATTTCATATGTTTGCCCTCGATTGTGATGAATTTCTTTGAGAAAATCCTCGTGTAATCTTCTTCTATGCTCAGTTGTATCATAACATGTCTTCTGTCAAAATGACCCACTTGTCAATCCCGAGCCAGTTTGAAATCTTCAAAAACCTTCCTGATGATCTCCATCTTAGGGTAACCTAATTGGAACTTTCGAACTAGTGTAAATTTGTATTTTCCTGCACGAGTTGAAATTTCAGCGTCGGAGAAGAATATTGCTGGTTTGCCCGCCTTTTTCTCTATTTTTTCGATGAGATTGCAATCGACATTTCCAGTAACAGAATCGTGGTATATTTGCGGGAATACCAAACTATCTGCGAGGTGGAAAGGGGAGCTGCGTTTGTGGACCACTGTAGCATAAGAGGGTTTGGCGGGATTATCACCGGCGACGGCAGCAGCGTAGGAAAACCTTGAGGCCATTAGGGTGCTTCACACAAGCACTGCAGCAAATTGGCGCAACCCGTGCGGGAGCAGTCTAGCAGTCGAGCAGAGAAATTGTGGCGGAGCAATCGAACAGAGAAAATGTGGCGGAGCAGTCGATAGGCCACTAAGAAACTGCAGCGCGAAGGCTTGACGACGCGACAACGATGCCTCGACGACGCAACAACACAGCAGACGACACAGACGATCGACGGCCCGAAATCCTTCTTCAGCCAGAGCCGAAGACGAGACGTAAAGGATCAAAACGAGCGAGCGAAAATAGCTAGGGTTCGCCATGAGATGTCAAGGAGGCATCTACATGCATACCAACAATACTTATGCATATAGAAAAGGGGCATGCTTGTCACCTTTTCCTTAGGCAGCCTAATATTAGTTGGGTTTGACGACTTCATCTGTTTCCTGGAATTAAAATATGTGAAACTATAATAAACATTATTAATTTATGCTTTCAAAATTTTACTCCATTTTGTGACTTTCTAGAAAATTCATGAATGATTAACCTTATAACATTTGAGCAAATATTTTCTAGTTTTTGATGCATGACCATGGTATATGGTAATGGGTCTTTCTTTATATATATTTATCTAATATTAATCAAGTTGACTAATCTTGATTTATGATTTTGAATTTATTGTTGCAAACTTCTTGCAAAGATCAATGCTTAAATCTTTCAACTAATTCTTTGGTCTGTCTATAGGTGCCCAGCGTGGCTGCTCTCATCCTTCTAAGGTTTATTTGTGTTAACCTAACATAGCATTAACGTTGGGCTTTTTTTTTCTTTTTTTTTTAAATTTTTTATGCATGACAACATTATTATTCATGGCGTCTGTTTATATTATTAATGTCATAGAAATATATCGCCTTGTGGACAATGCCGATAATGCTTGAACATTGATTGAATGCTTCACGGTTTCTTATTGTCGCAGGAAGGAACGTTTTAAAATGTCAAAAAGTTACACATACCACCCAATTCCTATGTATTTACATATCTAACATCTAAACTTCGCTTTTCTACATTGTTCTCACCCAAATCTTTATATCACATAAAAAATATCACTATTCTAACTTTTAGAAGGTGAAATGCATCTTTTCGTGCATAAGTAAGCTGACGTACAAATTGAAGTTTAAGTGTTAGAAATGTAAATACATAGGAATTGAGTGGTATGCATATAAATCTTCCTATTTATTTAGTTCGTTTGAATTCAACTTTATTGATCATTGATTTAGTTGTCCTTTTGAGCTCAATCTGTTTGATTTTTCCTGTGAAATGCAGACTCTGAAAAAGTGATCTTTGCTTCTAGTTTTCTTGTTCCTTCCCCTTGATGCTTTAAGAAAAAAATTGTTCCGCAGGATCTCTTTGAAGCAAATGGTCAAGGCATCCACTGTGATGTAATTAAAAAAGAAGCACAACAAGCTGAAGAGATCTTAGAATTGTACGGCATGAAGGTCTGCTAACCCTTGGTTTGGCTTTCTTGAAGCAGGACTTTAATAAACTGAAACATTTGCTTCTGCTTTACAGGCTGAAACAATAATTGATAAGCTGATTAATTCAAGCAAGCAAACTTATGATCAATATGATCACAAGAAACCGGGAAACAGAAGCGCAAAAGATGCTGATACTTTCCTGAGGGTGCTTTGTCATATGAAGGATGAAAATGCCTCTGAATTTTTAAGAGTTAGATATCAACTTCCAAAGTCTTCAGGTGAGGCCTGAGAATATCATGCTCCTTATCTTATCAGATGATATTTTGCTAATTGATCTTTTATATATTTTTGTTCTTCCAAGCAGATAATTTTCTTCGTTAAAAAACATAATTTATAAGAAAGACTGCACCTTCTATTATCAAAATACTATTTCGAAGTTGCCCATCTATCCTAACCTGGTTCATCAAGAAAAAAAGGCCATTTAAAATCAACTTAAGAAATTTGTATGTAATTTGGAATATGTAGCATTAAATTGCCAAATAGAAAGAGTATTAAAGGAAAGATGGTGAATTTAATGTGCAACTAACATTGCGAGGGGACACCAATAGGATGGCCTCGCTATAACAATAGTAACATTTTCTACAATAAGATCTAATGGCTTGGAGCTGCCACAATGAGAAAATGCAAGAGATCAATCAAAAAACAGTAACAGCGCTTTGCATCCACATCCTATATGAAATAAGTTATTGTTGACTATTTTAGGTGAAGGTCTAGATGAAGATCAGGTCCCTTCTTTTGTATTTAATTATTATTTTTTGTTTCTCTCTAATAAGCCCAACTTTGTCAGTTGTTTCATTAGTCTTATGAGTTTCCACACTGGATGAGGTGTCACAATACTAATAGATACAACCTCCAAATAGGTTTTCACATATACTCTATCATCAATAAGCCAAGTCTTGGCAATTATCTTATTCTTTTTAGCTGCAATAACTCAATTTTTTTTTAGAAAATTGGCCCTAATTTGGTTCTCCCAACTTATTTAGGTTAAAACCATCGATAACTTACATAATTTACTTAACTTTTATGTTGTTTTTTTCAGTATCAGCGCTGCAATATTTTTTAACTGAAGCACTTACTGTTTGAAGTTGCCCATGAGAAGATGTTATAGCTGGAACCGCATTGTTGCTTTTTTAGATAATAGAGGGTCTATTTTCATTGAATTATCAGATTTGCTATTCAAGGTATCTAGCTCAATTAAAACAAATTTCAGTTGAACATCAGACGTATGGGCTTGTGAATGCCTTATGGAGATATGCAAATTAATAGCTGTATCAATTCTAGAGTTTCTCGATTCTTTTCATTGCTTTCCTGAAGTTAGGGTAAATAATAAAACTTTAAGAGGTAAGAGTGGCCATGTAAGTCATAAGGGACGCAAAGAAAGTTTGTTTCTCTAACTCTACTTTTTAAATATAACCACATTTTTCAAATCTCCGCCAACATTTCTTATCAAAGCTTCTCAGAGATTTCAATTTCAATTAACATGCTTGCAACAAAAGTTGTCAATAAACTGAATAACATAATCAATTTTGAGAGAACATAGATGAATGCCAGTGGGAAAAGATTGTTTGATTCATAATATGAACATAAATAGTATGGAATGAGATCCAAATAATAAATCTAGAAGATTCCTCTTTACAGAATTAATGGAAGTTCATTTGTTATGACATGTTAAAATTCTATTAATGTCTATAGGCCTTTCAGAGTAGCCTTGAATAATCATTGACTTGCTAAGGCCTCATTAAAATATTTATTTTTTTCATAAATCACCTAATTCACATGAACCGGCCAAATCCAATTATTCAAATTAGTTGCAAAAATCCTAATAAGAGAGTAATAAGAAGGGAAAGTCATTACTTAAATTTCCTTGTCAAAGTAAAGATCTTCATTTTGGTTTGAAATTAGGAAGTATAATTGATATTTATCGAACTAGATTTGGATTGGATTCAGTCTTTAGACGAAGCATCACAGAAAGACATCAGAGGTCTGGTAAATACTTCATGCTTTTTATATATTAGAGAAAGTAGCTCAAAGGTTTCTGTGTTTATTCCCTTGGTAGGTATTTCTACAAAAAAAAATTACTTCACCAATAATTGAAAACTGCTAATTACAAAGAATTTAAAAATTAAAGCTAGAGAAGGGAGCAATTTGTGACACTCCTTTTTATATTTAAGTGTATGAGTTAGTGGCATATGTTTTCCCTCGCTTAGCACATGAATGTGTGGTTCTTTTTATTCTTATTTAACAAACTTAAAAGTGCTGATTTGTTTTTCCCTTGAACATTTTTCAACACTCTCTTAATTTAGACCGTAGAGATTTGCCATTCTAACTTTGTTTAAAATTTTTTTGACCCTAAGATTGTAAAATTCTTTAGAAAATATGTGAGCGAGTTCATTTTCCATGCGAACTCAAGGAATGCAAATTAACCCGACATTGTGCTTTTGTTTTTTTTTTTAATGAAATGCTAATCCATCTCCACTTTTGGTTCCATTATGTTGTATTAGATTGTGTAATGATGATGGAAGACTTATTATCATAGTACATCATCATAGTTGCTTTCTATTTATAGTTAATTTTTCTTATATAATTTTAATTCATAGTAGTTTATATATATATATATATATATATTATATATATATATTTGGCCATTGCTCTAAATTTAGAATCAACACTTGACATTGAAATATGTTATTTCTTGCTTCTCAATATTTTCAGATTTCCTTATATTAGTGTTGCTATTGTGATGTGGATGTCCTATTCACTAGTGATTCTACATAGTCAGCATCACTATATCCTTCAATTTGTAAGGTTTCATGTTTTCAATTAAGGTTTATTTTATTTTATTTTATTTTATTAATTTATTTTTTTTTTGTTTGAGATATGATTTTAGATACTGGAGAATTTTGTATGCATCTTGAATGTGAGATTCTTTTAGTGTTTGTATAAATTAATTTATCAAACTTTTCTTATTTTACATAGCGATGTCAGGAGATGTGTGGGATATATTACTTTTCTTACTATTTTTTTATATTGATTATTCATTAGTGTCAACTTTTTACATGGTTTGGTTAAAGTTTTATATAGCTTTTATTTAGTCAATTTTATTTCTCTTAAAAGATCCATCACATTTTTTTAATTGAGAGATAAAAATTATTTTTTTCTATTGAGCCATTTCCATAACTATAAAGTATTTGAGTTTTTAGAGTTACTTTGATTTCAAATCATATGATCTCGTTATGTTGGACTTTTATATAACTTTAAAATAGTCATTTTTAGTTTCCTTAAAAGTCCCATCACATATTTTATTGAGAGATAAAAATTCTTTTTCTTATGGAGTCCTTTTCATATCTATAAAGTATTTGAGTTTATCGAGCTACTTTGATATCACATTATTTTTTATTTTTTATTTTCAAAGGGATTTATTTTCTTTATTGTCATCTCTTGTCATCATGTCTACTATGGAAGCTATACATTTATTGAGAGGTTTGATGGAGAAGTTTAGAGATAATAAGGAGAATCTACATTTGATTTTTATTGATTTAGAAAAAGCTTAAGATAAGGTTCCAAGAGATATCCTTTGGAAAGTTCTTGAGCAGAAAGGTGTTGATATGACTTATATTGAAGTCGTTAAAGATATTTATACTAGAGTTGTTACTTGCAATCAAACTGAAGGAGGATTGACCAAATATTTTCCTATTTCTGTTGGATTACATTAGGGATCGGCTTTAAGCCCATATCTTTTTGCTTTTGTTATGGATGTTCTTAATGGACATCTACGGGAGGATGTACCTTGGTGTATGTTTTTTGCTGATGATATCCTCCTCGTGGATAAAACGAGAGAAAAAGCCCTGGAAAAACTTGAATTATGGTGGTCTACATTGGAGTCTAAAGGCCTTCATTTAAGTAGAACTAAAATTGAATAAATGGAATGTAATTTTAGTAGTAGTAGCTCTAGTGACAGAAGTGTGACTTTGGGTGATCAAATTATTAAAAGGTGTGAACGATTTAGATATCTTTGGTCCGTTGTTCAAAGCGATGGTGATATAGATGGGGATGTTAATAGTAGAATTCAAGTAGGTTGGTTGAAGTGGAGGAATG